GTAACAATTACGGTTAATTACTTGTTATTTTACACCAAGTTAATGTAACAATAAGAACACATCACTTAATAACGAGTTGATGTTATCAGGGTAAATGTAACAATTACGGTTAATTACTTGTTATTTTACACCAAGTATGTGCATTAATAAAACATTCTATTAATTATTCTACTTTTGTTTGTATAAAGAAGATAAACTCCGTGTTTATCTTTCTATCGACCAGTTAAGAGCCTGTTAGAGACTTTAACAAGACTAAGTTGAAAAACGATGATGATTATAAAAGTCTTTCCAACATTTAAAAACAGTATTTCCCCCGTCACTGTCATTCGTACGATAAAACCTTAAACATCAACTTACTTATATTGTTTTAAAGTTTTGTTACGCATATTTATAAGAGAAGAATCTAGAGACAATAAATTTCATGACAGCTATTTTAACAGTCAATTCACTTCTCAGGGTAAACACAACAGCTATTTATCTTGAACTGTGTCTTCTGGGAAGTATATATTCGTCGAACACTGATCATAACCGGATATTTTCATGTAAATACTAGCCAAATGATAAGTTCACTGTCCGGATTAATTGTTCAAAATCCGCTACAATGTTTTCTTAAATCGAAATACATTCGCAATGGTGGTTGTCTACTTTTGACATTAATAGACCAATACTCGATACGATACAGTGACGTCATGATGTACTGTGAGAGCCTCTTATCGTCATTCACACAACTTAGTTGTGCACATTTCCAAAATTAATTTTATTTTGTGACAATATAACATCATTCACTGATTATTGCTGTGTTTCTCATATCTCGAAAAATGTTGAGGTAAAACAAGAGGCAACGAATAAGTAAGTCACTATAAATAGTAATTTTCAAAGCATAAACATCACGTTTTTGTGTTCACCTTGGTACCTCTAAATGAAACGGCAGATTATAATGAAACCGTGAAACGTTGTGTATCTGACTATATAAAGAACATTACCTAGTATGTGTCACACGTGTTAAAATCTATATTTAACATTGGAAACACAAAAACGTTATAGTTGGAAAAAAATTGATATTTGATGTAATAAAAGTCGTGTTGCAACTTAATAGTACCTGATGATGACAAAACCTTGTCGAAACGTTGTACATTTGCTGTCATGTTAAACTTATATTAAAGTTTTTCTTCATTACCCATTTAAGCCGTCTCCAGCCATTATTAATAGTTGGTTGTTTGAACTTGTATGTAGATCACACATACGAAGCCGAAATGTTGATATAATAAATCATTTATAGATTTGGAACTAGCCAGTTTTATATCGAAGCATACTGATTTATCTAAATACGTCATGTAAAGTTTGGCTACACTTGTTCTGTTTCGTTTATCTTCAGATAATAGACACAATCGAACTCTTTTTAAAATAAATTTGTTTGGTTCTATTGTATTGTTTGGTTTATTTGCTATGCTGAATCGAAAGTTATGATAGAGCTAAGTCTGTGGTTATGTGATTATGATGGTTTTGTGGTCATCTTGTAGATTTTTACATATTATCTAAGTACTACACTGCGGAATGTAAGTTATATCGTGAGTGTTTTGCGCTCTTTAAGTTTGGGTATGAAATTATGATCTTGTAACTCTGTGACGAATATAAGTTCTTTATAAGCAGAAGGTTGCGCGATTGTTTTTGTGGTATTACAACCGGGCACATCTGTTAAGGTAATAATAGCGTTATGTAATTCTGATAATGGCTTATTTGAGCTAAAATCATGTTCTTTTGTATTTATTATGTTTTCGTTGTATTCTCCTGGTTTCTTGGCTGTTGTTAAAGTGTTATGTGTCTCGTGTTCCGTGATTATGTTGCTGGTCCTGCGTACGCTATTGGTATCTGTACGTTCTCTACCAACAGAGGGCGACTTGTCTGTGGCAAAGGTTGAAATACTAGTTTTTCGTGAACTGGAAGGGCTTCCTTTATCCAGATGTCTATGTCGACTACTGGAAACCCTACCATTCTCTTCATCTGGTGCATGTGTAATGTGAACCCTCTCCATCCTTTGAGGATGACGATTGACAGAGCTGATGTCATCAGGTACGGTATATTCAGAGGAATCAGAATGATATCTACATCCCAGAACTCGAATAAATGCCTCCTTGAACTCTTTGTTCAGGAACACATAGATACACGGGTTGAAGGAGGAGTTGAGGTAGCCCAGCCATGTGAGTGCGCTACGCCACTCGTAGCTCAAGTCGCATTGTTTACAGTAAGCAAGGATGACATACATGAGAAAAAAAGGCAGCCAGCAGACACAGAAAACGCCCATGATTATTCCTAGTGTTCGAATTGCTTTTGTATCAGTTATTAGCTGTCTGGAACGGCGTCTGAGGCTCCGCTTGACGTGTTGATCCTCTGTCTGGAGTGACACTTCCAGATGTTTGATCTCTCTAGCCTGGCGCTCCGCTATTAATAGGATCCGGAAATAGACGTAGAACATTACTGGAAGTGGAAGATAGAAAGATGTCATGGAAGAAATGATTGCGTACACTCGGTTAACTTCCAGGGAACACTCGTTACTCTCCTGAAAGATAGATGATGTACCATCACTATCGTCATACCAGCCAAGAAAGATGGGAATAAAGGAAATAGCCCCACTGCAAATCCAAATGCACAATACAGCTATAAGGATCCTCTTTTTGGAAACCAGCATCTGGTACCGAAACGGTCTAGTAACCGCCCAGAATCGATCTAAAGCTATCATACATAGGTGTAGGATAGACGCTGTGCAGCACATAACGTCACACGAGATCCACAAATGGCAGGCAATGGCCCCAAAACGCCATTTTCTCTCTAAATCATATAAAACCAATAAAGGCATGACGAAAAGTGCCACTGTGATGTCAGCAGAGGCCAAGCTAGCAAGAAGTAAGTTTGTCACTGACCTTAACCGTTGGAAACGAGCCACAACGACGATGACGAGCACGTTACCCACGAGCGTCATGGTAATCAACATTATACACACACATGCCCCTAGTATCCGAACCGCCCACTCTCCAACACTCACAGAATCTCCCGTAAGAATATTGTTGCCGTCACTCATTTCCGTAAAGTTAGGGATACCAGCAGAGTTTCCAGGTGGAGAACGATCCCGAGGGTCATATGTTGGGAGAAATGGAAAAATTGATCCTGAAAAGCTTGGTAACATCCTTCCTTATATGTCGATACGTTTAGAACAACTCTTAACTTCTTCTAGATTAGGTGATCAGTGATGATGCCAAGACCTATAACAAAAGAATACTAAGTTAAATCATACAGTCAACCAGTTGAAAGTGCTACTCTAACTATATATTTACTTAAAAAGTTTGAATAGTATGACTGGATCTAAATCTATTCACATTTTCAGATAGAGACGTGGAGATAAAAGAAAGAATCAGAAAATCTATTGTAACAGTTACTTACTACCTCCGTCATCGAAGGTGACAGAGGTTGTTTTCACTCTTATGTGTGTTTGTTTATTTGTGTGTGTGGCTGTCAGCAGGATGTCTCGAAAACGGTTGAATGGATTTGGACAAAACTTGATATATATATATATATACATTTGGACTATGACATTAGATGTGATTAGTTTTTGTAGGGTCAAGGTCACAGCAAGATCACGATGCAAAAATTCCTATCTGTTACGCTATTTTTGTCCTGTAACTAGGCAAAAGCAATCGGATTTTGATTAAACCTGGTGGACATATGCAGTATATTATTCCTCATTTTTCTTCTACAAATGGCCTGTGTCCGTTGATAAATACGGACATACTGAGACATTTTCGTATTTTTGATAGCCGAATATCATCAACACTGCGTGGCGGAGGTATGCGCTCTACTGAGTGCCCTCTAGTTCATTCAAGTTGTAATTAAGAATTATTTACTTTTCATTAAAGAAATTTTAACATTGTTTGTTGGTCATGTTTATAAATGGGCCATTATCAATATATTTGGAAAATAGATATCTACTAGCATGTTTAAATTTTTGTTGTACATATAATTCCAACAGAATAATTTATGTACATTTACATGAGTATTGATAGTTTTGGTTTTCTTGTATTTAGATAATGTGCTGATAGTATAGAAACAACACGATTCTTGTATGTGTAAATTGATCTAAGTGATTTTCTTATTAAAAAGTAAGTTTGACATTTCGTGAAATTTATAATCATGAAGATACGTAAAGTAACAGTTATTTATAATGTAAAATATATAACCTCAGGTTAACACAAAGGCGTATTGTAAGTTTAACCAACCTTAATAACTAAGCAACTTTTTTAAACCCTAAAAACTGAAAAACATTTTTAACTCCAGTCGCTATTCAAACTTAATTACAAGAATAGCTAAATCTAAGTTTAACTCTAATAAGTAGGCAACTTTAGCTTAACAGCAATAATTAATCAAACGTACTTCAGCCTAAATAATTGATTAAGTCCAGTTAGGCGCAAACAAATAATCAACCTTAACTAAATCCTAATAGGTTCAAACATAGCTAATATTAATAACAAGTGTTGGCTTACTCTTAACAGTTATTAACTCAATCCTAATTGCTAACCAGTCTTATCTTCACCTTAATAACCATTATAACCAACCTTAACTAAATCCTAATAGGATCAAACATAGCTAATATTAATAACAAGTGTTGGCTTACTCTTAACAGTTATTAACTCAATCCTAATTGCTAACCAGTCTTATCTTCACCTTAATAACCATTATAACCAACCTTAACTAAATCCTAATAGGATCAAACATAGCTAATATTAATAACAAGTGTTGGCTTACTCTTAACAGTTATTAACTCAATCCTAATTGCCAATCAGTCTTTACTTCACCTTAATAACCACCCTTAGATAATGTGTAATAAAAAGTAATCGTAGAAAAATTCAATTAACTGATTAACTTAATATAAATTCATAAATAATGAGATAAAATCGGCATTTGCCTTAAAATACTGATGCAATATATTAATGCGACGATCAAACTAGGCTTTATAATACGTTTGAAGTTTATCATTTAATTAAGTAATAATAAGAACGTGATTAGACATTCCACATACATATATAAGTTTTTATTTTCTCTATGGCTTGTTCGAACTTGAATGTAAATTGCTGTAGTAATTGCCTTTAGTTAATTAGGCTTCATCGTTCGCGGTCCATTGCTGCACAAACTTGCTTCACATTTTGAGGCTGTGGGTGCACTACAAGAACGACAGTCAAATCCCAGATTTAGGTAAGACAAGAGTAGTCAAAGAGTTGGCGATGGGTACTTTTTACAAGGTACTTTCCCTCGGGTCTATCAGTTGAAAATTAGGGACGGCTATGAGGAGACTGCTTTTTGTCTATCTTTGCGCGAAAAGTTTAAAAATTAAAACCAAACAAATGCCCATATTTTGTTTAAGTAATTTTCGAAATACACTACAAATTCCTCCTACATTATTGAGTTTGAAACCAATTTTTCTATCTTACCCATGTTTCGGAGAATATGTTGTTCATCATTATTAGGGTTAATGACAGCACTTCAAAATAGTCACAAAACAATATTGTTTTTATCCACAAAAGTTTGTCCACCTATCGTATATATTTTTAGTTTTCTATTTCTTCGACGTCTGTGTTATTCATAAATTTATAAAATTTTACGTGAAATAGTATGAAATGTAATATTTGCACTTTAAGATAATTATTAAAATGACCACCTGAATTTATTTGTTTTTAAGCATAAAACTATATGTCGCAGATAACGAAACTCAATTTTTAGCGTTATAAGCCCACAGACTTACATTTTTTAATTATTCTATACTTTGTTCTAGATCTGATATGTTTTAAAGAACAAAATTCTATGTTTCCTATAATACTGTTTTGTTTAAAAAACTAATATTTCATATATCATAGGTAGAGAAAATTGTTCCTGAAGAAATATACTAGCGGTATGGCTTAACTTCTAGTGAATTTAAATCATGTCTATTAATATTTGCTAAGTACTACATGCACATTGAAGAACATATTTTTATATATCTCAGCCATTGTTTTGCTACTATAACTTTTCAGCTTTGAATTAATTTCTCTAATAAAGTAACTCTCATACGTTTCACTTTACCAGTACATTAAGTTTGATATTAACTTTATAAATCTGAATACAGTCATTTTCTAAATCTAGAGTGTTATGTTATTCTACTACAAAAATAGTAAATTGTGATTTTTAGGGTTAAGTATAATTCTTCATAGATTATACCATAATTCCATTTTTTTTAAGTTAATTGAATGTTATTAGTTATCATCTAAATAAGTCTAATATGTAATAACATCTGCATATTGGCCTTTATTAATAAGTTTAGTATTGCTCAAATAACGAAGTATATCATTAGTATATAGAAATAAGTGGACTTAAACTGTTGAATTCAGCTTAAGGGATATAAAAATTCGATATATATCATAAGTATATAGAAAGAAATGGAGTTAAACTGTTGAATTCAGCTTGAAGGATATAAAAATTAAACATACTGTTGTTAATTATAATACTGTTTTTCAAATTTATGATAACATTATTTGTTCATCTTATCAAAGTATACAGTAATTGAAAGTCAAGTATTAATTTTTATATTAATCCTTGATGTGATATTTCATCAAATGCTTTTTCGATATCTAAAAAACTGCACCTGTAATTTATTTTAGGTTAAAATAGTAAGTAGATTTTCTACCAATCTAATCAAGTGATCAGGTGATTGATAGCATTTCCTAGAAAAACTTTGATAATCATTCAATATATTGTTTTTATATATATATTTTAAATATCTATTATTAATTTTGGTCTCAAAAATTTTAGCTACACAACTTGTCAGACTCAGAGGATTAGTTTTATTTATATTAGACCTTGAAATCATGATGATTGTACTCATTTTCCAGCAATCAGAAAAATATTCAGACTTTAAATACAATCTAGAAAGATTTGCAAGTTCGCAATAAAACGTATCTGAATATGTTTTCATAATGTGTTTTCCATTAACATAACCAGGTGCAGGTTTTTAACATTTTAAATAGTTTGAGCTTCCCGTTGGCTCATTGGTAAGTCCAAGGGCTTTTCACAATAAGAATAGGGTTTCTATAACCGCGGTAGGCAGTGTACAAATAGCCAATTGTATAGCTTTGAGCTTAACAACAAACAAACAAAATGCTTTATAATCTCAAAAACTGTAATAATTTGCTTATTAAAAATAAGAAGGTTATATTTAAAACATTAAATTTGAGAATTAGAAATATTAATAGGGAATGCACAGTCCAATCTTATATCATTAACATTTGTAGCATATTTATTAAAATTTATATTTTGACAAATCTTATTAATATCTTCATATAGATCTTAAAACAAATTACTTTATCAAAATCCGTTTTATAAACTGAGTTTTTAAATCATAAATCACGATACTTATTTTTATCAACATTTATTATATATAACTTTTTAGTTATTTAAATCCTTACAAGTTGCATCAAAGCCCTTAAATGATCGTTTTAATCAATTTTTTAACTTGTTTTTCTTTAAATAAAGTTTGAAAATAAGGATTATGGTATTTCACCAATTCTCCCAGGCTTTGTTTTCTTGTTGATTGCTGCTTCAATTTCATTTTTTTACATATTTGGGAAAGTTTTATTTACTACATTAACTGCATTTGTACTAATTATAATGCTACATTTATTTAATCGTTCTTTATTTTACGCTTGACACGAGTTTAGTAAGACAGTGTCTTGATCTTTAGTAACAATTTCACGGAGCAAAATGTCTGTTCTAATCTGCAGTCACAGCAATAAACCAGTGAATATGCACCAAGGTGCAGATATGGGTGTGTGTGCATATGTGAAGGAAGAGTCATATAACCTAGAGTCACTACTAATTACTATACTATAAATGTGCTCTATTCTTGAGATGTAACAAAACTACCCGAGCATTTAAGGGACCTGATAGAATCTTATTAAGATTATCTTGATGTTGAATTGCTCCAAAGGTTGATTTTAGAGTTTTCTGATGAATTTTTTTTTTTTACAGGTCCGAATAGATGTCTGGAATGCACAAGCTTAACACAACACATACAGATATTGGTGGTGCATATTCTATCAACAAAATGCTTTGTAGGCTTTTCTCATTTACCAGAGCCCTTGCAAGCCCAAATATAAAGCAAATACTGCAAGAACAGATAATACAGTCTCTGAAAATTATGCGTTTCTCACAATTAGTAATTGGCAAGAAGAATGAAAGA